GCAGAAATTGTAAAGCCTATAAATGTCTTATAGAAGATTATTTCCTGGGATCACTGGCTGGGTGAATCCTGTGGATAAAAATTTGACAAAAAATGAAAAGTTGTGATAAAACTGGTTTTTTAACAGCAGCTTTAAGAGTCTGATGGGACTTCCCTACCAATCACTGCACAAGCTTAAGTCTCCCTCCTTCTCTCCTCGTCTTATCCACTCTGACTACCCAGCCCCATGGAGCATTACATGCTGTGTGATCAGTACTACATCATCTCTGTATGTTTGTTTAAAGCACCTCCTGAATCATATCAAATGAGAATATATTGCTGGTATGAAGTGTTGTTGGCTCAACTTTTACCCAGCAAAGATCAAGGCCTGTTTTGCAGCTCTACTGTTGTCAGCTGAGTCCTGACATATAGCACAACAACAAATCAGCAAAAGAGTCTTGACCGCACGCTTGAACATAAATACACTGCCATCAAAAAGTTTAGAACCCATCAGTTTGGTTGAATTGAATCCATTATTCTCAGTGTAACAGCCCTAAAAGTTGAGAGCAGAAGTAAGAATATGTGTAGATGAACTTTTCATCTATAATACTCCAGTAGGATGCCTGCAGCAAAAACCACACTGTAGCAGTGCTCATGTTTCTAACAGCTCTAGATCTTATTGGATCAAAGCTTTTAACACTAGATGCCCTTGGACAATTAAACACACAGCTGAAACGTAATGGTTTTTGCAACTTTTCTTTTCAATTCCTGATTGTACTAACAGCTTTTCTCATTTGTAAGCTGCTGTGTACATTCCAAGATAACTGCTAAGTGTTCCACAAAAGATATCAGCGCATCAGTTTGTTTATAAAGACCTATTCTTTGGTAAACTGTCCAAACCTTTGGTGTTAGATACTGGACAATAGAAAACTCAGACAGTAGAAGGTTAAACACACAGTGCTAACATCAGATTAAGAAAATGCTGTCTACTACAGGTGCGTAATTAGCATAACCACATTTGGACAATTGCCAATGCTTTCTTATGAAGTGTTTATCATCAGCATAGTGCTATATATGTGACCAATATTTGATCAAAAGCCTTTAATAAACAACATAAAAGAGAAACTTAAGCCACACAAACACGTCTTTTAATCTCTCAATTACTGATTAAAATGCAGACATCCATTATTCTCTTCTGTGATGCTATTGGGAGTCAACTCACTCTGCAAGCTGTTTTGCACATATGGTTAAAAGTCATTACTGCACATTAGTATTCACAACAGTTGCTCAGGCTTTGTGCATTTTAATAGAATAATACAAAGATTGATTTCAATTGATGAAATAATGCTAAAATACAAGCACCCAGGAAAGAAGTTAGATGACATGCCAGTGGAAACTATAAACAGCCTTAAGATAAACTAAGGGGCAGAATGTAGCTAACAGATGCACAAGTATTTTTATTAAAACTGGCGATGAGGAACATTATTTTGAAAAGAAACTTAAGCCCTATGTAATGTTACTTAAATACACTACAGGAGAAATGTCATTCTTTCTTTTGATCCATACATTAAATTCAACATTAATCATATGTTCACTGGTTCCTTGTTAAACAGTACATAATCAGTTCACTAACTTAATGTTTAACATACTCCAAATAAGAAGCATATTAATATAGCCACTCCTTCAACCAAACATTATATTTGCCACCTCATAATCATGTTAATAGTATAAACACAGCTCAAAACAACAACCAGCAGTTAAAGAATTATACTTCTCAAGATTAAGTAGCATGGTTATTGTCCATTCTAATGCACGACAGTAAAGCTGTCATTCGATGGCACTTGCTTCATATGTACCAGCAAC